CCACCCCCCCACCCCCTGGCCTGCTCAGGCTGCTGTCTTCTCTCCCTGTTCCCAGTCATGGCCCAAGCTGCCAGGTGGGGGACCCTCCCACCCCCCAGCCTTGTAGTTCTCCTGAACCATTGTTCCCATGTCCCCGCTGCCCCCCCGCCGTGACTGCCTGTAAATCATTTATTCCTCAGGACCCTCGGGGATGAGTTTCACCAAAAGGGGAATTATATTGGCTAGAGGCGCCCCTAATGGCCAACGTGTAGTGTCCAGACCTCGGGCAAAGCCACACAGGGCCACGTGTCCCATACATCCTTGTCGCCGTGTGGCTGGGAATAGGGATGTGTTGGTTCACCAAGTAGCAAATAGAGGAGTCGTTTTCAGGGTGTCCCCGTTCAGTGAATACACTCGATGCTAAGAACGTTCTCCATGGCTGGCTCCTGCGGGGTGTCATCAGTCCCCTTGTTGTCCTCGGGCCCGAGAGTCACACTCCTTGGGGAGGATGGAAGCGCCTCGTGCTCTCTTTCCTAGGTGCTGGGCTGTGTTCCCCGAGTCGACCAGAGCTCATACGTGGAACCCCACCGAGCTGTGTCCAAGGGACTCAAGTGTCCCCAGGATTCAAGTATGGCCGTGCTGTCATTGTAGGGCTCGTGGTTACTAATGGAAAGAGATGAGCTCGTCGCTTCTGGAAGACAGGATGGTCTGGGTTTGCCCCATCTTCCTGTAACTTCCACGCACAGGCCTGTCACAGGGTGTCTGCACAGTTGGGGTCTCTCAGCCTACAGAATCCAGGGCTTCAACAAGGCAGAGTCAGAGCAGAGCTCGCTGTAACCTGCAGCCCTCCGGAACTGCACCTGAAGGGGTTGCACTTGAGCCAAAAGGGGCCGCCTATTAAATCCCCCTTGACCCACCGCTCAGTCCTAGAATTGGGGGACTGTCCCTGTTCCCTCCTGGGTCCTGGACATGTGCTCAGGAAAGGAGACAGGAGAAGGCACTGCGGGCGCTGTTCCCACACGTCAGCTCTGACAGGGGTGGGGACCTGATGTCCTCTGTGCTAGGGACCGCATTGGGTGAGGCCTCCCGCAAGCCAGGGACTGTCACTTCTGCAGACGCCTTGAGAAAGACAAGCCAAACCTTTGATTATTAGGAGATGCTAGAAGTTCACACAGTAGACTCACAACCCCTTAAAATACGTAAATGTGTTAGAACACGGTCAGTCTGCTGCCTTTGTTATAAACCGTGGCCTCCGCTGGGGCTTCCGGTGACGGTTTACATGTGTGCATCGTGTTTTCTCCTTTGGCCAGCGGGTCTCCGACCTGAACTTGCCACCGCCACACCCAGACCTTGCCTTTCAGTCGCCCCAAAGTAGAGTTCAGTGCCGTGGGTGTTCTCGCTGATAGAGTTAACGCAATTCTGTGTCCCATTGGGTGATGTCCTACAAACAGTATTTTAAAGCTGAGGATGTTTCAAGGGTGAAGGTCTCAGAACAGTGCTAAAATCAAAACTGTTTCCTGTGAAGAAAAAAAATATATGTCTCTATATTGCACCTCAGATTGTCAGAAGGTGGAAATGCAAATAAATTATCTTTAAAAAAAAAAAAAAGCTGGTCTGCCTAATTTTTGTTTTCACGTATCCATGAGGACTCCTTACAGAATTGGCGATCTTTTCAGTGGCATGAGTGGGTTTTCGGAAGGAAACATTCTTTTCTGGGGTCAAATAGATGATTTCCTCGTTTACGCTGAGCACGAGCATCTTGTCCAGATGCACGTACGTCCCATGGAAGCATGGGAGGAGCGTCCCTCTGAGGGACAGCCCATGCCTTGTCTGCGTGGGGGTCTGCTGGAGTGGCCCCCTGGACTGGACCTCAGCCCGTGCCTCCGGGATGCCTGGAACCCCTTCTAGCTGGAATCCTGATCTGGCTCTTCTGTGTAGGCTCTGGGTCTGGAGTGCTCGCTTGTCCAGCAAGAAAGCGGGACGCCGGATTAAAAATGCGAGAGAGGCTAATGTCCGGGAGGAGACAAGAGCCCCGAGAGTGAGGGTCCTTGCTCCGTTTTAATTAGGATCAAAAGGCTTATAAGTGTGATGGGCGTGCATAGAGAGACCATGAAATCGGGAACATGAACTCATGGGCGTGGGGCAAAGGGGGTTTTGAAGATGTGCCAGGTAAGGGGTTTGGGTTGGGTGGAAGGTTGTTTACAGCAGACGTGAGGCACCACCTCTGTTTATCTAAACTGGCCCAGGGGACAGGAAAGACAGGGCATGCGGCCTCAGGGTCAGCAAGGCACCTCTCTTTTGCTAATTAGCTCCTTCCTCTCGCACTGAAGCAGCAGCAGGCCAAGGGTGGAAGGGGGAGGACCCCGTTAGGTCAGCAGAGACCCAGAAGAGCAGGGGCAGGGTGGGGTGGCCCGGGGCAAGAGGCCAGGTCCGGTTCAACCTCCCCACCAACCGCTAAATCATTCTTTGAGCCTTGCTTTCTTCATCTATAAAATGGGAAGGAACTATCAGCTCTCCTGGGTGGTCCTGTGAGAACCAAAGGTGATGTGCACAAGGCCGTCCTTCCCTTCGCTACCCCCACGCGGAGACAAACCCAGGGAGAGGTGCCTCCGGAGGGCTCCCACCTGTTAAAGACAGAAACAAGACCAACCGTTCCCGTCGAAATTTTGTAGGATTAAATTTACAACGCATGCGCCAAAATTCACAAAACTAAATATACAATGTAAACAGTGAAGCTTGCAAATGGTGTTTCTGTGGGTTGTAGCCTCTCTCCCTCTGACCTCAGCGACGCATTTGAGGGAGAACCCCTCTGTATTCTGGATGGAGATGCCACCGAATTGATGAACCGTTTAAGGAAACCAAGTAGATGTTCAAATTTATCCCGTTGAATTTTGTGTTTAACAGAAGCCTCTCTGAGCCTCATCCCCCAGTGAGTGGCAGCGTCATCGGCATTGTTTTGGGATTTAGCCATTCTGAAAGGAGTGCAGTGCTAGGTCAATGAGGTTTTGGTTTGTAATTCCCTAAGGATACATGGCTTGGAGCTATGTTTGTGTGACTAGTGATGATGTGTCTTCTCTGCTGAGGTTCAGACCTTTACCTGTTTTTAGTGGGGCTGGTTGTCTTATTGTTGAGTTACGAGGGTTCTTCGTATATTTTGACTACAGACCCTCTGTTGATACAGGCTTTGCCAATATTTTCTCCCAGTCTTGCCTTCCGGGTCCCAGAACAAGGTCTTTCACGGAATGGAAAGCTTCATTTTGAAAAGTACACGTTACTGCTTTTTGTGCGGGGGTGGGTAGTCTTTTGGTGTCTTGTGGGAGACTCATCACCAAACCCAAGGTCATGTAGATTTTCTTCTGTGTTTATTCTAGAGTTTTTGTAGATTTGCATCTGAAATTCATCTGCGGACAGTTTTGAGTGCGTTTTGGTGTACTTAGTCATGTCTGCGGCTGCATTCATTTCATTCCGTGCAGTTTCCATCGAGTTGTTCCTTAACGATCTTTGGCTAAGAGGCGGGATGGGTGGCTCCGTTCAGTGTGACTTTCAACGCGATAAGGGACCCAGCGGGCGCCCTGGCCGCCCTCGGCCAGCGGTTGGACGACCCGCACTGCCCCCGAGGGCCGACAGGGGGCGGCCGCCGCACCCCGCGCATGCGTGTTCCCGGCCCCGCCCCGTCTCCGCGTGCCTGCTGACCCGAGCGAGCTGGGTCGCCGTCACGCCGGCCAGGGAGGCGCGTTTGGGACAGTGCGGGCCGCGTCCACGACCTCGAGCCCCAATGTGGAGGTGCCCCGGGGCTTCGTGGCTTCGTGTGTTGGGTGGATGCTGGCAGGAGCTGGGGAAGGAGGAGGCGAGGCCGCGAGAGGAGGAGGTGAGCGTGTGGGAGGAGGGGGTGAGGACGCGGGAGGAGGGGGAGTTGAAGACACAGCGGCGGCGGAGAGGTGAGGCTTGGAAGGACGCAGTGGGCCCGGGGGGCTCAGTAGTGGGCGGCGGGCGTGGGTGTCCGGCGTGGCTCTGGTGAGGGCGGCCGCCAGGGGTGGCGCAGAGCTTGGTGGGTCCCCCCGTGGCCTCCCCCTGCCGCCCGCGCCACCCCGCCCCAGGGGCCGCAGATGTGCGTGTGGTTGGGTGGCGGGAGCCTGTCGCCTCCGGCTCGTTGGTCTTTCCCCCTCTGCTTTGGCCGTGGGGGCAGACGCACGCGGCTGGGTTGTGTGTTCTTGGACTTGGATCGGGGCCGCCCTGAGTCTGGCCGACCTGGGGCAGCGTGGGTGCGGGCAGGAGGGACTCCTGCGCCCCCGACACCACGTGTGCGTCTCGTCGGGTCTGGCAGTTTGCGCGGAGGCCCTCTGGCCCCGCGTGGCTCAACTGAAAAGCCAGGGCTTCCGCTCGGACCCTGTGAGCTCTGGCTGCCGTGGCCCCCCGCCCCGGGCCCTGCCTCTCGGCCGCCCCCAAAGTCCCGCTGTCCCCAGGCAGCGGCTCCTCTCTGCCCTGGCGTGGACGAGGCTCCCACTCACCGGGTCAGTCCTTCCCCACCTGCCCGGAAGCCGTGCGGCACCTTCTCCCCCTGCGGGCACCTGCACCAGTGGCCCTGGCGAGCAGCGGGTGAGCTCGCTTTCCATCAGGAGGAGAGAAAAAGCAAAAACACACCCAGAGAGGGGGACCCTGGAAATCCAGTGGCGCCCGAGAGCTGCCACAAGTCGCTCTGTCCACCCCACCGCCCACCTGTGCCTCTGGGGCCCAGAAAGAGAGCCGCTCTTCCCAAGTGGCCGAAAAATCCAGACCTTCGTTTTCAGAGAGGGTGGCGAGGCAGGCCGGGGCTTTAGTCCAACCCTGGAATCAGGAACCACCCGTCCCTTCGGTGCTCCGGGGCCAGAGCGGGAAGGGGAGGGGACGGACAGTGGGCCAGGTCACCAAGCAGGGCCATATTTCTTCGGAAACTGTCGGTGGGGTCGGGACACGGACGAGGTTAAAGAAGACGGACATTCGTGTGTGTGTGGTGCCCACGTGAGTGTATAAACGTAGGAGATGTATGGCTCTATGACGTGACTACGTGTGACTTACAGTACGATCTCCGAGGTGTTGGTTTATAAATTATTACATAGAAAGTGTCGAATGTTGTAGTTAGTAGAAAAAGTTTTTAGGTTTATTTTTGGGAGAGACAGAGACAGTGCAAGCGGGGGAGGGGCGGAGAGAGAGAGAGAGAGAGAGAGAGAGAGAGAGAGAATATCTCAAGCAGGCTCCAGGCTGCCAGTGCAGAGCCCCGTGTGGGGCTCGAACCCACAAGGCCGCGAGATCATGCCCTGAACTGAGGCCAAGAGTCAGATGCTCAACCGACTAAGCCAGCCGGGTGCCCCTAGGATGTTTTGGTGATTTTTGGAATGAGCGTTCTCCCTGGTAGAATCAGGGTGGGCTTCCCTGAGGAGGTGCCAGGGAGGTGGATTGGGGGTAACAAAAATCAGTGTGCTGAGGGTGCGAATCCTGCAACGATCCCCTGAAAGTCTTCTGTCCCCCACTTTGTTGATGAGAGAATCATGAGGCTCACTCCCTTCCTCACCTTTGCCACCCTCCACCTCCCTTGTCTTCTGTGATGAGTCCCTGGTTCCCAAGGGCATCCCTGCGCATCGTGTCCCCGTGTCAGGGGTGACTCGTGGCCCCGCAGACCCATATGTGGAAATGCTGACTCCCAGTGCCTCAGAATGTGGCCTTATTTGGACATAGCGTCTTTGTAGATATAATTAGTTAGGATGAGGTCACGCTGGGTAGGTGGATCCCTGTGCCGGTAAGACTGGTGTCTTTACAAAAAGAGGGAGTTTGGACACAGATCCACACACACACACACACGCAGGGAGAAGGCCACGTGAGGGTGGAGACAAAGGTCAGGGTGCCGTGTATAAGCCAAGGGACCCCAGAGATGGCCAGCGGCCCCCAGAGGCTGGGGGAGAGGCCTGGAGCCCACCCTGCCCACCCCTGGCTTTCGACTTCAGGCCTCTGGAGCCTCGAGAGAGTAAATTCCTGTTGTGTGAGCCCCGAGTTTGTGGCGCTCTGTGACCGCAGCCCTGGAGGCCAATCCGCTGCACTCTCAACATTAAACCCGCTCTCGGATGTAAACACCCGAGTCCCCGGGGTCACAAGGGGGGAAAGGAGACCCAGCACAATTCAGGTTAAGGGGCACCCCACGTTTATTGAGCACCTGCTCCGTACCCGGCACCGTGCTGGGCACAGCGATCCCCAGAGTGACTTCTGAGGTCGGCAAGATTGCCCCGTTGTGCAGATGAGGAAACTGAGGCTCAGAGGACACAGGCCTCACCCAGAGCCCCCCAGCCCACCCTAGCCCTGAGCATCCAGGGTCAGCCCCCGTTTTCCCGACTGGGGAGTTCTGGTCCTATTGATGGAGCGCCCGCCCCCGTCCTCTGAGGTCTTCCTTGGCAGAGGCTTCCATAGTCTCCTCGTCTTCTCTTCTCTCGCCCCGTAGGGCGGTCTGAGCGCTCTAAATGATAACAAGCGGGAATGACGAGGCCAGGGACAAGTCCTGAGCCCTTTCTAAGGAGCTTTGTGCAGGTTTGTTCGCCTGACGCTCCCCACGATCCCACGGGGGGATACTGCTATTCTCCCTGCTTTGCAGGCGAGGCATCTAAAGCACAGAAAGGTTAAGGACCTGTCCTGAGGTCACACAGCTTGGGCGCAGTGAGTTTGGGCCCAAGTAGCCGGGGCCGTACTTCCTTGCTTCACTGCCGTTAGAATTAGTCAGAAAGCCACGAGACGCTCCCTGCCCCCTCGACTGTGGGACGCGGCCCCCCCTTGTCCCCCACCCACTGGGTGACTAACCCTACCCCGATTGGTACCAGGCTGCTCTTTTATGTTACTCGGGTGAGCACGGAGGGGTTGTCCTGTAGAACCAGAAATGTGCTTTGCCGCGCTCGCTGGGTGCCCTGGAGCGTAGGTACCTTATGACTTCCCTCAAATCTGAGAAATTCGGGCTTCTGACACCCGTGGGCCCCAGGGCACAGGAGCCACCCGTGCAGGGCCCTCGCCTCTCGAGCTGCCACGCTTCAGGACGCCTCTCGGGGGCACTCAGGACAGGCGCCGGCGGCACAGGGCCGGTTTATGTGTTGATGTGATTTCACTTCCAGGCCGGTCCAGGCCCGACCCCGGGGGACGGCTGCACGCTCCCCAAGCTGTGCCGCCTTCTCAGGATCTCCCGCAGACCCCCGTTCTCAGACGGCCTCCCCTTTGTCGCGGGATTGACGGCCCCACCCCCAGCGCTCACCTGGCCAGTGAGAGACCATGGGACAGCCGGGGAGGAGACGGTGTCCGTGAGTGGCCGAGCATCGCAATGTCCGTAGAGCCCGTGCATCTTGGCTCGAAAATCCTGCCGGGAGAGACCGGGATGGGTGGGGGTGGGGGTGGGGAGAAGGTGCACGGCCGGCACCACCCCCACCCGTGCCGTAATCTACAGTAGTCCTACCACCCCATTTTACAGATGGGGACACTGAGGCCCAGAGAGGCCAGGTAGTCACACAGGAAATGAGAGATTGCTCTTTCCCCTAGAAGAACGTCACAGAGGTGAGCGAAGGTACCCGAGCCCGTTCAGTCTGCATATAACTTCGTATGGTGGTTTCCAAGCTTCCCGCAAATTCCTTGACCCGTCACCCATCGGGAGCCGGGATAGGATTCTCCTCCCGTTGAATGTGTCCTCAGTGACGGACTCACGTCCAACAAATAGGCTGTGGCAGGAGTGACACGTGAAAGGTGGTACCTATGCCGCCTGCCTCTGTCACGGGATGCTCGCTTCCGACCCGCTGCCGGGCCTCCTGGAGAGGCCGCGGGCAGGGTAGGCTCTGCAGGCCCCACTGAGGACGCAGGCGGGTCGGGCTTTGCGGCACGCGGCTCAGGCCGTAGCCCTGGGCCCCGAGCGCAGAAGAACCCTATGTTCCGTCTGACACGCTGCTGTCACCGTCTTGAAATTCTTTTTTTTTTTTTTTTTTAAATTTTTAACGTTTTTATTCATTTTTGAGAGACAGAGACAGAGCACTAGCGGGGGAGGGGCAGAGAGCGAGAGGGAGACCCAGAACCCGAAGCAGGCCCCAGGCTCCGAGGCGTCAGCACAGAGCCCGACGCGGGGCTCGAACCCACGAACTGCGAGATCGTGACCCGAGCCCAAGTCGGATGCTCCGCCGACTGAGCCGCCCGGGCGCCCCTTGAAACGCTTAATAATTGTTGAACGAAGGGCCCACGGTTTCATTCTGCACTGAGCTCTGCAAACCAAGAGGCCTGTCCTGTACCCGGATAATAGCCATCATCCGCCAGATACGGTGCGGAAGCCTTTGAGGTGACTCCGGCCCCAGCTACCAACTGACTGAAAACCCGGGAAAGACCCGCCCGAGACCGTCCAGCTGAGCCCACAGAAGATAATCACAGCAAGTGGCAGCCGTTTTTTCCAGCACTGGGTGTGGTCTGGTGTTTTCTAGATAAGTCCGCTCTTGATTTCCATCAGATCAGATAGGGATAATGCGCACTTTGTCTGCACCCAAACTACGGCAGGCGTCAGCCCGGGATGCTCTTTGTCGTTGTTGATTCATGTGTCTGTTTTTTTATTTTTTGTTAATTTTATTTATTATTTATCTTGAAAGAGAGGGAATGAGTAAGGGAGGGAGAGAGAGAGAATCTCAAGCAGGCCCCGTGCTGTCGGAGCAGAATTTGAGGTGGGGCCCAATCTCACAACTGTGAGATCATGACCTGCGTCAGAATCAAGTCAGACATTCAACTGACCGAGCCACCCAGGCACCCCTTGTGTGTTTGTTTAAAAAAATTTTTGTCAGGGGCGCCTGGGCGGCTCAGTCAGTTAAATGGTTCATGAGTTCTCTTGTAGTTCATGAGTTCGAGCCCCACATCAGGCTCCGGGCTGTGGAGCCTGCTTCGGATTCTATGTCTCCCTCTCTCTCTCTGTCCCTCCCCTGTGCTCTCTCCCTCTCTCAGAAAATGAATAAAACATTAAAAAAAATGTTTTTAATTTTTTAAAATCTTATTCGTTTATTTTTGAGAGAGAGACAGGGATAGTGTGCTGAGCAGGGGGAGGGGCAGAGAGAGAGGGAAGGAGAGAACCCCAAGCAGGGCCCATGCTATCAGCACAGAGCCCAACGCAGGGCTCGAGCCCATGAAGCCATGAGATCGTGGCCTGAGCCGAAATCAGACGCTTAACAAACGACCGAGCCACCCAGGCAACCCAGGATTCATCAGAGCGAGTCTTCAAAATTATAACCATTGCAAAATGTTGCCAATGAAAACTGCTTCTGAATCGAGACAACTGAAAATCAAATTCGGCTCCACACCATCAGATAGAAAATGGAGCATTTGTGATGTGTACCTCAAGGTCTCTCTCCGGGTCGTAGTTCTCCAGGGTCTGGAAGGCGCTGGAATATACCTCCACCGCTTTGGCATGTAAGACCATCTCAATAGTGACAAAGTCTGAAAAAATTTTCTGTGGGGAGAGCAGGCGGAATCACATAAACCACATTCTCAAAGCCCTGGGGCCATCTTGAATACGGGGGGGGGGGGGAATGGGGGGTGGGGACTGTTACTTGCCCTTATGGGGCAGGTCCAAGGCCAACGTTACTTTTGTTTTTGCGGAACAGATAATACGTTCCCATTCAAAAGCTGCCTCGCCCAGGAATTGTTCCGGAAACGCAGAGGGCGTGTTTCTTGGTGACTCTCTAAGGGACACGCTTTGCTCTGCCCTATCACCTGGGCTCATCTGCACAGCCTTTGCTTCTGAGGACAGGTGTTTGCAGCTTGATGGCTACAAAACCTTTGGCCTCTGTCACCCACAGGCCGTGAGTGGATCTTCCGGGAGAGACCTCACAACCTGACGAGCCAGCTCGCCAAAATGTAATTTTGTGATAGAGATATTGATTTCTCTAGATCAGATGGTTCGGCTCAGCTCAACAAGTTCTAACGGAGTTCCCACTGCATGCCCAGCCCCAGTGGGGGCTCCTACTGTGTGCCAGGCTTCACATAAGCTCCTCCTGTGTGCCAGGACTCACATAAGCTCCTACTGTGTGCCAGGCCTCACATAAGCGCCTCCTGTGTGCCAGGCCTCACATAAGCTCCTACTGTGCGTCAGCTTAGGAGGACAGGCTCCTACTCTGCTTTGGGCCCCAGCAGGACACGGGCTCGGTGTTGGGGGGGGAGTGGGCAGTTTGGAAACACACCACATCACACAAACATTGCAGTGCCTGCTGGGGGGGACAGGCTCAGAGGAAGTCCCCAGGTGAGCACAGGAGGGGAGAGGGGCCAAGGCCAAGGTGGTGATGGGGATACGTGCGTCCTGTCTCCTTCCTTCTGCCCCTGGGAGGCTGGCCTGGTGGTCACCTTCTGCCACTTACTGGCGTGTGGCCTCTCTGACCCTCAGTGACTTCATCTGCACCGTAGGGACAGGTGTGGTCCCAATTCACCAAGCCCTGTGAGTCAGTATGGCAGTTGCGTCCGTGTCCCCGAGTCACCACCAGCTCCACCGGGGACTTGGTCAGAAATGCGGACTCTGCAGCCCAACCAGGGTGGGCCGGTCACCGGGTGATCTGCGTTTGAGGCAGCCCTCCAGATTTCTGACGCACGCCCAGCGGTGTGGACCTCCGGACGAAAGCATCACTCACATGCTCTCACAGGAGCCAGAGAGCTCTTTTGTCAATGTGATCATTGTATACACAGAAACGTGACCTAACCCTGATACAGTGGTAATCATTCTTTCCAGTTCTGAGGGTTTTTTTGTTTGTTTGTTTGTTTCTTGTTTTTCTCTTGCGGAACTGGGAGCACTTTTTAGGGGATGGTCTGGATAAGTGCCTCTTACAAACTTAATCCCAAAAGTTCAAAGGATGCCCACTTTCAACTGCGTGCGTTTGTTGGCCCCTAACTGTGGAGCCCAAGCCACTTGTGCTCAACTCTCGCTGGCACCCCGCGGGCCTCATAAACAGCAGATGCCTGATGGTGGCCTGCTGGTGACCTCGGGTCCTGCCTGCCGCACAGAGGCGGAGCACCAGCGACCATCACCGCTCCTGCTTGTGCGTTATTTGTTCGTTCGTCTCCCAAACGTTCACTGAGTACTGCTAAGTGCCAGGCCCTGGACCCTGTGCAGGGACCCGGCAGGGGGACACGACAGCCAGGCGCCGTGCCGTGCCCCACGTGTGCGTGCCCTGTGGCGCACAGCGTCGGGGTGCGGGCATGGAACAGCAAGTCGCCCCCACGCTCTCCACTCCCTAACGAATGGCGTACGTCATGGGTCTTCCCCAGGGTGGCAGCCTCATGAGGACAGGGGCCTTCCTTTTCTGGCTATGGTGTCCTGGCACCAGGCACAGCGCCTGGCACGTAGTAGGTGTGTATTTAACATGTGTTGGATTAATGAGGGAATTAAAAATACACTTAACCTATCCACCATGCCCCGGGATAACTGACCCCAGAGGGAGCAGAGCAGTGAATCAACGTCAGGGCCGGACTGGGCTGGGGGTCCAGGTGAGTTTCCCTGGAGATGAGGGGGTGTCACCTTGATGCAGAGTAAGGGCTAAGCCTTCCTGGCAGAGGGGCACAACCTGTGCAAAGGCACTGGGGCGCGTCGGGGGTTTGGCGCCCTCGAGCTTGGAGTGATGCATCCAAGATAAGGCTGGGCTGGGGCTTCTGGAGGCTTGGGGAGGATTTCCGCCTTTATCTTTAGAATCAGGGAAGCTGTGGGAGGGCATTAAACCCAGGCGTGACAAGTTACAGCTGCCTTTTGTGAGGTCCCCAGGGCTGCAACTTGGGAAATGGACTGGATGGGGGATCGAGAGTGGGTGCAGGGACCTCTGTGACCAGCCAGGGCTCTGGGCCCAGGAGTCTGGGTTGCAGTGCCGGCGGCAGGGGTGCGTGAGGAGGAAGCTCCCGTGCCCAGCCCCCTGCGCCTAACCATGGCTGGCTCGGCGGAGGGTGAGGAAAGGAGGAGGGAGTGAGGGCAGAGGCTGCGGGTCCCTCCGTGGCGAGGAGGGGGTTGGGGGGACGGAGTCTGCCAAACTGGCCTGGCGGGGGGCCGGGCCTGGGTGCTCAGAGGCGGGGCTGTGAGCGCTGAGCGGCTAGATCAGGCCAGGATTAATCGTCCTGGGAGCCGGGGCTCTGAGAGCCGTCTGGGCAACGGGTGTTCGCCCATGCTCACGTACACACATCCGCGCTCACACACACGGGCTCACACACACACACACACACACTCCTAGAGGCCAGAGCATGTCTACCACAGGGCGACCACCGCTACCTGAAGATCCATCAGCTTCCGCTTCTGGAAGGCTTCAATCATCTCCCCCAGCTGGTGGGTGGTGTGGCTGGCATCCGCCGAGGCCCTCTGCACGCTGGTCTCTGCCTGGCTCCGGAGGTAGGAAGTGTCACGGGGTGGTTCTGGCCTTTGGACTATTCTGGATCATTTTCAGGTCTTCCTCTGGGTCAGTTCCCTGCCTCATGGACGCCTCTCGCCAATTTGGTCATCGGAGGGAAGGCCGAGTGCGACCGTGGTGAAAGGGGCAGGCGCTGCTCCGACAGACCTGCTGACTAGCTGCGTGACCCCGCGCAAGTCGCTAAACCTCTCTGAGCCTCACTTTCTCTGCCTGTAACGGGGGACGGTGATCACAGCGGCTTTGCATTAAACGGGGGGCACCTGCCGAACTATCATAACAGGTGTCGATGATGATTAATTCCCGCACGTGGAACGTTCTTTAGGTAATTAGCTAATTCGTATGACCCGGTCCCACGCCAGGCACGTGCAGACCTGGGTGTCGGTGCCAGGCACCCTCGGAGTGGAGCTCCACGCCTGCCCCTTACCTCCCTGGTGTGACCTAAGGCAGGTCACGTCTTTCGGCCTCGGCTTCCTCGTCTAGATGATGGCAGTGGGGCTACAAGTTAGAAGTGCCCCCAGCCCGCTGCTGGCCCCGCACCTCTGACTCGCATCCTGAGCCCAGGGCTGTGCACGCACCCGCGCAGGTCAAGGTTCACCTGGCTCTTTGGGGGGGTCGTCCGTCACCTGCACGGGGCTCGGCCTTGCCCAGACACACGCGGGGCACTCACCTGGGACTGGGGAGGGTGCTGTTAAGGAGCCAGGTGAGTCGGCAGCCCCTGCCCAGAGGACGCCTGTGACCGACGCCCCGTGTGGCCCGGCAGCCTCGGGCCCACGGCCCAGGGAAGGATACAATGGTTAGCCGATCCGATGGTGACTTCTGCCTCAGTTTCCCCAGCTTTGCCAGTTGCTTGATCTCGTTTTTCTGGACTTGCTTTAGCTTCTTGATCTCGGCCTAAAGGAGGGAGGAGGGCTGCGTCTTGCATGTCCAGATGGGCCACTCCCGGTCGGGCGGTGCCCCCCCCTCCCCTCCCCCCCGCTTACCCGCGTTTGCTTGATGTGGGCCCCGTAGAGTTTCAGGGGGCTGATGACCTTGGTCTCCAGCCTCTCGACCTGGGGGAGTGTGGACAGGCAGAGAGTCGGAGCGGACAGAACCGGGGAGGCTTGGCGGCTGCACGGTTAGAGCGCCATGGGCACACTGGTGGGTGGGCGCGTGGCAGGAGCCCGTGGGGGGCTGTGGACGCCCGGGACGCGGTCCCTCGTCCCTTAGGGTTGTGAGCGCCGCCTGAGCTCAGGGCTCGACCTCCCAAAGGCTCCGGCTGCACATTTCATCCCACGAGCCTTGTTTCCTCACCCGTGAAATGGGTATAACGACTGTGCCCACTGAGGGTTTCGGGGCAGTTCGTTGGGACCCGTGGCCCTCGCGATCTCACGCGGGGAGCCCAGGAGAGCAGGGCATTCAGACCCGACTGAGCCAGTGCACCGCGCAGCCCCCGAGGGCGCAGCATGGTCTTGGGGTGGATGCCTCACGGCCCCGAGGCGGTGCCCAACTGCCAGGTGAAGGAGTCCCCCGACCCCTTCCCCCCCAGGCTCCCTAAGACCCCGATTGCCAGGCACCGCCCCCAGGGGTGCCGACTCGGCAGGTTCCCAGTGAGGCCCAGGAACCTGCGTTTCTAGAAAATTCCCGGGTGAGGCCGAAGCCTCGACGCCCAGTGGCCTGAAAAGTTGGCCTGCCGGATGGGAGTCCCATCGTAGAGTCCCCCCATGCCTGTTCCTTTTCCTTATCCTGTGGGATAAACACAAATCTAGAAGAAAAGATATAGATGTTTTCCCAGGAGTCCAAAGGCAAAGGGACTTTCCTCCTCGCTTTCCTTCCAGCATTTTCTTTTTAGAAAACCTTTCTCTGTCCCTTGGGGACGTATGTAAACCTTTTCAGAAGCATCGCAGGGCTTCGGCCCTCAGACCTGACCCCCCCCCCCCCCCCCCCCCCCCCCGGACGAGGGATCCCCCTGGGGCCACCCCGCCTACCTCGGCCTGCCGGTAATCCTGGACTTTGGCCAGGTCCTCGGCGAAGCTCCTCAAGGTGGCCCGCATCTCGGGGTGCTCGGTGTTGGCGAAGTCGATGAGCTGTTTGACCAGCCGGTCGGCCTTGTCCCGCACCTGGGCCGTCTTGCGGGCGTAGGCAGCCAGCATCGAGCAGAACTGGCCCAAGTGCTTCTCGGCGTTGGTCACCGTGTCCTCCATCACCCTCACCTGGCTGTCCCTGGGGAGGTGGGGCCCGAGAGGCCGTTCTGGGCCCCGGTCGGGACAGCCACGCAGGGTCGCCCGCCTGTCACCCTGCGCCCGGTCAGACGCCTGGTCCCTCCCTCCCGGTCCCATCGAGGCGGATTCGGGAGACCGGCCGGGCGGCAGGGCTGGTCAAACGGCCGGCAGGAATGCAAAGGCTGCTTTGGCTCCAAATCCAGTCTTACCCTCCCTGGGACCCTGAGTGAGGCTTTCCTATTCCTGGCAGAGCTGTTCTTCTTCTCTTCCTAGCTGCGATGGCCTCTTCCTCCAAATCCCCTGAGTTTGCCTTTCCCCCCAGCTGTGGAAATTCTCTCCTCTCTCCGAACCCTGAAGGCTTTTGTTTTTTTAAAAATGAATAAACTTCAGGTGCGCCTGGGTGGCTCAGTCGGTTGAGCGTCTGACTTTGGCTCAGGTCATGATCTCACGGTTCGTGAGTTCGAGCCCCATGTCCAGCTCTGGGCTGACGGCTCGGAGCCTGGAGCCTGCTTCTGAGTCTGTGTCTCCCTCTCTCTCTCTGCTCCTCCCCTCCTCATGCTCTGTCTCTCTGTCTCTCTCAAAAATAAACATTAAAAAAAGAATAAACCTTTTGAGGGGGCCAGTTTCAGGTTTGCAGGAAAACGAAGTGGAAAGTGTAGAGAGTTCCCTTGTTTCCCCTGCTCGGAGCACACACGGGTTCCCCCGTCATTAACGGGGCTGCGTTTTTAAAGAAGTTCACTGGGTGGTCCCGAGGCAGCCTGGAGTGTGTGACCCTCAGAGCAACCAGGCATCCAAACGAATGGGTAAGGGGCAGGCGAGCTGTAGGAGAGCGTCAGTAGAATCTGGCCAGAGGAGTGCGGTCAGGGGCGACCCCACAGGGGCATGTTGTCTGCTGGGCTCTGAGGCTCGAAGGGAGATTTTCCAAGTGGACATGGGTGAGGGAGAGAGGGCTTGGACCCTGTGAATTTGGCTTCCCCGGAGCTGTGGACAGTAATGCTGGGGAAGCAGAGGTCAGCTTCTGGAAGCCTCCCCGGTCTGGAGCCCCGTCTTCCCCTGACCTTGAGGTGGGGTCGTGTGGGAGGGAGAGCGCCCCTTACCGCTGCCCGCCCCCAGCAGTCCTGGCCGGCCCCATCCCTCTTGGTGCATCAGGCCCCCGAGCCCTGCTGCCCCCTCCCTCCCGGCCAAGGCCGGCGCAGAGCCGCTCACCTGGAGAGAACGATGCTCATTGTGACCAGAGGCACCAGCTGCTCTGGGCTAAGGGAATAGGGACAGGGCCCCGGGGGTCCCTGGGGGAAGCCCGCAGGGCTGGGCGCAGCTGTGCCGTCTCGGCTCAAAGGACGCTGCCGCCTGGTCGCTGGGCAACGTGGCCTCCCACAGCTACCCTGGGAGGAGCCCCAGCTGCTTGCCCGGCAACCTGTCCCCGGGCCAGCCCTGCCCAGCCTCGCATCAGCTGGGGGGAGGCGTCCCAGGGAGCCCCCACTCCTCGTCTGAAGGTGGGGGTTCCCCGGGAGGCAGCAGGGACTGGAGTTAGGGCAGCTTGCCGTGCCTCAGCCCCTGCTGGCCCAGGGCCCTTCCCAGCCACGAGGGGTGGCCACCCAGCCTTCCCCAAATTTCTGGGAGTGGCCGGCAGGGTCCTAGGAGACCCGGTTGCTCAAGAGGGGTGTGTGGGAAAACACAGTTGGCCTGGGGGGGGGG